TCACAAGAATTAATCTAATCACCCCATTTTTGCTTTCCGTTGAGTTCTGAAATATATATATATATATATATATATATATATATACATATATTAGGGTGGTCATTTTCGAATTTGCTTGTTCCTAGGGGCTCAAATGATTCCAAATTCATGAACAATTCTCTGAAAGTTTTAGCTCTTAATATTAACGTTTAGATAGAGCGCAATTCAATCCAAGTTTGTATGGAAAGAGCATGGAAAAAATTTTGAAAATTAAAAAAAACATTTTTTAGGTATAACTTAGCGACAAATGAATGAGTTTTATTCATTCATTTGTTCGCTAAATTACATATAAAAAACATTTTTTAAATTTTTGAAAAATTTTCCATGCTATTTCCATACAAAACCTTGATTGAATTGCGCTCTATCTAAACGTTAATATTAAGAGCTAAAACTTTCAGAAAATTGTTTTTTATTTATTTGGAACCATTTGAGCCCCTGGGAGCAAGAACATTCGAAAATGACTATTTTAAGGACCACCCTAATATATCTAATATAAATATATATACTTAAATTTAAAATTAGGGTTTTATAGCCTTTATTTCACTACTTTGTAGGGTTTTCTGCATGAACAAAATTGTCTGTTCTTCATCATATACTTAGTAAGATCAATACTGCTAAATGCTACAAAAATTCTTTTCCAGAATATTCTATCCGTTTTGATTAATACGACATTTTTTATAAAGTAGTTATTGTCTCTTTTTGCATATTCAAGGAAATAAATTTCATATATAGCCCAAATGATAAAGAACAGAGAATTTCGTTTAGATAGAAGGCAGCCTCGCCGAAAACCATTTGTCAAATCCACTAAGCGGTTGTATGCGCTGTGACGAGGGTTTTGTCCCCGGAATGGTACGTGTCCCTAGAATCACAGAAGAGTGTTTTCTACAAAATTACGTACTGAATGAAAATTCCAACCTTCAAAAATATAGAAATTTAATGTCAGAAACACTACTTTAAATTCATTTCCACAAACGTAGAGTAGGCAGTGGGGCAAAATGAGCTTTTGGAAAATGCCTATTACAGCTGAATCAGAATAATAATATAATATAATAATAAGAGCTCCAGGAAAATTAAAAGAATGACTCTGTATTCGCTTAATATAAATGAACTGACGAATGCGACAGAGAAATCTTCATTACAAAATAAGTCCATTAACGTGCCCTGTGCTGTTTTGCTTACTTCTCATACTATGATAAATAAATGAATTAGGAATCTTCTCTTATCACACTGCATATTGAAAACAAACTACTCCAATTTTCGACAATTGATTACACAAACGACATGGCTTCTCGAATGTTGTAAATGCCTCAAAATAATAACATCAAATTAATTGTGACATACCTTTGAAATTAATTTAGACATTACCATGACAGAGCAATATATTGTTTTAAGTTTTTAATAGTTTGTTTTGATAACGTTCATTAAAAAATATTAAGTAAATTCATTTTCAAATCGTATTAATTTCGTTGAAAAATATGTGAAATATATTGTCGATCATAAATTAATGTCGTTCTTCAATTTTCAACGTGTTAGAAACATTAAGCAATCTCGAAACCGAATTTAGGACTAAACAATATATTTTAATTATCTTATTTGATTTCTAATACTATCGTGACTTTATTCAAATCAAATATTTGAGGCCATGATATCAAGTAGGTATATTACAATGTAGGATACTTTAAACACGAAAATAATGTTAACTCAGAATATAAAACGGGATATCAAGAAATAATGTGTTAAATGTACCATTAGATATTGTGATTTATATGAGAAGCACGTGCTCGATTCTCCGGCGCCACTATTCGAGATGCATCTTAACATTAAAAACGTGCAAAGGGTTTATGTAACATTACGTATATAGCTGACATTTACATTTGTTTGAAGAAGTCTTCGAACATAAATTGTTTATTACTGATTTTCTAGAAATAATGTAATAAAAGAACTACAGAGTCAAAAAGAATAAGTTTATTGACAATTAAATAAAATGCAGCAAAAATGCATCTGCCTTACATATAGTCACAGGGTAGGACCGGCCTTGGTCACAGTATTTATACATGATGCATAAGATATTGATTATAAAAGAAAGTAATAAGAAATAGAAAATCAAATAAACAGATATTAGAATGACTTTATAAGTAAATAAATTCAACATTTGATTTTGATAAGTGGAATGTTTGATAAGTGATTTCTTTGAAGGCGTATTCAATTTATAAGTTAAAATTATTTTAAAAGAATTATTGGCAAGAACGCAACTCAACTTGACCTTGGAATGACCGCTATATATATATATATATATATATATATATATATATATGTATATATATATATATATATATAATGTGTGTGTATGTGTGTGCTATATAATGGTATAATATGATCCATATTTTTAAAGCAAGTCATACTGTATGTGCGGTAATAAATAGTGACTTAAAATCAATAACAAAATTAATAAAACTTAAAAAAATTATATAAAAAAAATAAAAAAACGTTCACAACAAAGGTGGTTACGTTAGACAAATAAACCAATAAGATAAAATACATATTCACGAAAAGAAAAGTATACGATTAAAATGATATATATATATATATATATATATATATATATATATATACTGAAGTATCTACCCCATGTGTACAATCTATTAATTCAAATTCATGTAATCTATTAATTCAAATTTTCAAAAAACTTTGTTTTTTCAAGCAAATAAAAATAATCGTTACAGATGTGCATATGTACAAGATTATTTTTGAATGTGGTATGAGTTTAGAATAAATTCCAAAGGTTTTGAATAAATATTATAGATTACCATATCTCAGTTAAATTAAAAATATATGAGTTTCAGTCAATAAAAAATTCTATAAAATACTCCGTGTGTTAATGCTATATGTTTACTAAAATGAATTCTTATTAAAAATATAACTGTATTTTTTCTCATTTTTATATATCTTTGTTAACATTTTCCGTATTTATTATTATCAATAGATCTACTAGAATGTATTTTCTGGATAGTTGGTTGATCTACAAGTAGAGACCACGATACGAAAATTATCTGTAGTAGAGCAAATAGCTATATATTGAATTCAAAACGAATTATTTAATAGGTCAATTATATACATAAGTAAATATAAGTACTATTTAAATGGCTATTTGCCCTTTGGAAACCACGTCATTGTCATAGTAATGTGACATCGATCGATGTCTATATTGGCACAATCGTCCCAATGCGTTGTTATTGACGGACACGTTGCATATATATAATTCAGTACCGAGCTCACAATCCGCTTAAGCAGCAGAGCAAGGGTTTATTAATATTTTACACGAATTATTTTGGACCGATTTCGATTTTGAGTATAGATATATATTACTGATTTAAAATTTATTCGATGGAATCTAAATACATAACCAGGTTTATATTTACATTCCATGAAATAGGTTTTTATGCCCCAGTGACATGGATTCTTTATCTTATTTTCGCTCTAAGCGGGAAAAGTTCGGATAAAAATAACTGTGCGAATAAAATTATTGCAAGATATCACACAAAACTTCTAATAAATTCTCAAAACATTAGAGATATACAAAAAAATGTATAGTTTATATGATACAAACTGAATACAAACAAAACCAAAAACTATTCTTTGGATAGAGAGACAATTTCTTGCAAAACGTGTTAAATATAGACAAAATCATCTGCCAAATAATATTAAAAATACTAAATTAATAATTAATATTACACAATAATACTTTTGTAGATCTTGTATACGTGTTTACAGTATTTTCTTCGACACTAAATATGATTGAAGTTGGGGTAAAGTATTCAAAATCAAAACCCTTTCATTGCACTCAATCAAAATCAAAACATTTCAATGCACCGAGCATAAGTCAAAAATAGTAATTTAAAATATTTGCAAAAAACACTATTTTAAACAGTTATCAAAGTTCACAAAATAAATGTTAAAATATTTATATGTATTTGAGTGCATATTTTCTCTTGAAATATATGTTAGAACGTAAAAATTACATGCAACATTTTAGTAGAAATTTGATTAATAATCAGTAAAAATAGAAGTAATCGTGAATTATATTCTCATATGTCGCAAAAAGTTCTAGAGAAAACTATATCATGGGGAATTTTATTTACAAAGCATTATCAGGATTTGTGCTAAGCTTACCAGCGTTTAAAGTGTTTAAACTTTTAAGACTATAATGCAATTGTAATGAAGAAATATATTATTGTTCAACTCTTTGCTGCAAAAATATCTTAGAAAATTGAAATTTAAACGGCTTTTAATAAATCTGCTACCAACAGCCAAAAATAGAAATTAAGTATTTCGCGTCTATCGCATCTTTTTAAGAGTAATTATCGGGGCATTCTCGAAATAAGTTCCAAAATGTAAAGAAAACTTGAAATTAATAATATTGACTAAAACTATTTAATTATTGACATATCTAAAAAAAATTAAGCTTGTCAATAAACAGAATATTGGAACAATAGAAAAAATATAATATTACCTTAAAAAATGTTAGAATACCGAAAGTAAAAATGTATTATAATTATGGAGACAATCCTTCAATAAAATAGAAATGTTATGGTAGAATTAAGTTACGGGTCTATCTTCTTATGCATTGGCAGTGACAAACTGTTAAAAACTATGTATTTGCTGTGTGATCAGGCGTTTCGCACATAAAATCTAATCTACAAAACGCACAAACCTCAAATAAGGCCTGATCGCACAGCAAATATAAAGAGCTTTGTGACGATTCGTCACTACCAATTCATACGAAGGTAGATCCGCAACACAGTGTTACCATATTTTTGGCCTCTATGATTATATTTGAATTCACGTTTTGGAGATTCAAATATATGAATTCAATATATATATAGTTTCACATTATCTGAAAATATTATGTTACTTATACAAAATTAGAAAATTAATAGAAAAATGGATTTATTATCACTTACCCCACTGTGACATCGAAAATGTTGCTGCCCACAGAGCTGGAGACCGCCATGTCACCGAAACCTTTGCGGGCTACTATCACTGAGGTGATCAGGTCCGGAATAGACGTGCCGGCCGCTAAAAACGTAAGCCCCATCACCTGGCACACATTAATCATTAATAAATCAAATCAAATTGTCATATGTTTTAAGTTATAACTACATTTAGTAATAACTAAACGTATAGTAATAACTCTAGGTAAGATTCAGTTAACTTTAGGTATAATTTTTATTAAAATTAAAATACATTACAATGTAAATACTAAAGTAAACTTAAATATGTGCAATAATACTTATGGATATAACTTTCGAAATAATATATTTGAATTATGTGAAGTAAACGGTATTTAGTATTTAGTAAATTTACTTGAGTTTAGTTGCATCAGGATAAATATAAATAAATGATACGATGAAATGATCTTACGTAGTCGAATAATATTAATGTTCATTAATGAATTAGCTGCATATTCGTGTTATTCATGTCTATATATCAAAATCCACTTGAATAATAATGCAAAATTCGAAGTGCAAATGTTCCCCACAAACATAGCTAATTGTATAATATATTAAACCGACACTACACTTAAGACTTGAATACTTATCAAAAAAAAATCTTACATGATTCCACCAATGTACCATTAGTGAGAGATTTTATAACAATTATCTCTGAAAGATTTTATACTAATTGTTTATTTAACTTAAATCAAAATATATGTAATATTGGATGGAATGACAATACATATTGGTACAATTAGTACGAGCTACCATTGTCAATAAAAAGATAATCAAGTATAAAATATGGCAGAGATCAAATTACTCTTAAACTATTCTTACAGCATATGTTATTAGTCTTTTGACTATTTTCCAATCATATATGTAATATGTATTCTTTTGTTATTATTATTGTAAATATGGTTTTTAGTGATTATTTTTACCATGATAAAAAATTTATTTATAAGTAAATTTACTTTTTATTAGTTAGTATTAAATATAAGTTTATGTATTTATATCTTAGGATAGTTACACATGATTATATAAATTGTATAGAAATATGTATTTATAATCTAATATAAATAAAATAAATAAATCTTTAAAAACAAAAAAACAAAAACTTATCCAAAATAAGGCTTTAGACTTTTAAAAGCAGTTTTTGTCAATTATGGTTATTTGTTTACTAATTTAAATATCAAAAATATGGCTAGTTCTGATTATCACTTTAAAAACTCTTGCTATAGTTTTTAATTTATACGAATTTCAATATTTATACTATCGCATTATTTTCTGAGGTAAGTGATACTGACCGTCATGTGTTATTTCTATAAATTCACAAATAAAAATTAAATTGAATTATCTTTTGTAAACAGAATTATTTTCGACTAAAAATAATTGTGTCCAAATGACTAAACACCATAAAAATACAAATATAAATATATTCCGTCAATATTTATAAAGATCTGCATTAATTTCAAAAATTTAATGCGCATCTCTTTAATATTTCCCAGTAGTATTAATAAATACTAATGTCATGTCATATCATGTTTTATTAATGCAGTTGCTCGACATGTTTTGTTAATCGTGTTAGATGTTTAAAAGAAATTTAAACCACGATTATATAAGCTAAAGGCCATAAGTATGAACATTTTAATCCTAAATCACACAAAGATTTAATGCTCTTCAACGTAAAGGCCTCTGTATACAAGTAAGCCGTTCGTGCTGGGAAGTTAGTAGTATAAAGTTTCGGGTTTTGCTAGGAACTGCGGTTACTGGCTCGAGACTGAGTTACCATGTTACGAGCAAATGGGTAATTTGCAACATGCTTTTATATAGGAAATGAACATAAAACGCTTCCTAAGTATTTAAATCATAAACCCTTCTTGAAAGTTGGGAAGGAGTTGTTTAACATTAATGGAAGAAATTGCAATACATTATGTAAACGGAAGATTTGACTAGAGAAATTTAGTGGCGAAAATATAGACTTGCATTGTGAATAAATTTCTTACAATGACAGCAAATTTCATTCTTGTTGAAATCTGAGAATGTGAACAAATAACTACAAAGTATATTCATTAATTAGTTAACTTCGATTGACGAGTATTCTCACCCGTATAAATCTTTGACCATTGGCAATTTAGATCGCATATAAAAAAATATTCTTTAAAATTTTAAGACATTCACTCAGATTTAGATTTTAGTCAAAGACTTTATAGATTTCAAAGTTCAAACTACACAATTTTCATATAATCAAAACTTGTTTTTTTCTTAAGTAATCCAAAACCAAGTGTTTGATCTTGTGAGTTCTAATGAAGTTTGCTTCGAAGATATTTGAATTAATATTCAGTAGGTTGTTAGAATTAATAGTCTTGTATAACTCCTAATTTCAATTGTATCTCAACATATCATTCAAGTGATAAAAAAAACAATAAAATATAATAAAATTATTAGAACAATACATTTATAAAATCGGCCTAAACTCGCTGTCCATTACACATTTATACAATTGCAAAGCCTCCATAGTCTCGTTGTTTATATATCTCATTCAATAACTGGTTCAAGGCTGAGACGAGACTGAAAATCGATATGACTTGTGTTACATGCTTCGTCTGCCCAGGTTATATAAACTTATACGAAGGATTGGCTGAAAGGAGGGTCGGAATGGAGACAGTCTTCCATTCGCCTTAACAGGGATTAGAGATGTAAAATATTTACTGGATCTTCAGAAAAGGTCGATAATACCAGCAGATTCAAGTTCTGCTAGTGGCAAACATTATTGTTTTGGAAAACGAGCATTAAAAAAAATTGTAGCACAAAAATATATGGTGGAATCTTCATACATTATAAAGTATTTTAAACAAAATATATTAGCAAATTACCACCAGATATAATGCAGAGACTCTGTAGAAATATTATGAGGCACTATGTCTTACAATTAGTTGAAGACAATTTTACCTTTAGATTCAAAGATCAAAGATCAAGAAAGTTTTTGAATTTATTTTAAATTTGATAATTTAATTAATTTCATCTACATGTGTGTAAGGGTACTTTTTTAACTGATTTCTGAAATCTTATTATAAAAAGCAATAAGCAGAGATCTTCATCAAAATATAGAAAAATGAATACATTTTGATTAGGTATCATAGATATAATCAGCCACATACCAACTTTAACTTTAATCCGTAAATGGCAATAAAATAATTTCTCAAACATGACGTCTATTAATGCAGCTGTTACAACACTCGTGAATTATTTAATAGCGAGTTTCCAAGTCATTTAATTGAATTTCGATTATCGATATTTGGCTCATCCCTACACAGTCCATGCCAGTAACCCATATCGTAAAAACGCCTTCATACGAATGATATCGCGTGGCACATTTTTCCGCATTCGTTCTGCCGACTTTTTTTTCCTTTTTATCAGATTTCATATAAATTTGGTATGTCTACATAGTTAACAGACCGAGGTAATTATTATGTCATAGTGAATGATTCTAAAAACGTGATTCTGATATTAACAAAATTCAGCCCTTAGAACGAATCGCTAAAAATAAACTATTGAGTTTGCGCTTATTTTCACTAAATGCTCATTATAATATTATATATATATATATATATATATATATATATTTATACATATATATATATATATATCATATCATATCATTTGTACTAGAGATTCCTATATATTGTAAATAATTTTATTATTTTCTTAATTGGATGTTTTCAAGTGAAAATAGATCCTGTCCGGCATTGCTGCACCAATAAAAAGTCAGCTCTATTAGATAAATTCCAATAATAAAATCATCAAATATGGATGCTTTAACTATTAGGATACCAACTAAATCACAAAGTAAAGAGAAGTTTCAGCCCAAAAACTCATATGACGCAAGGTTCTGATTGTTGTTAAGATGTGAGAAAATAAATTAATTAGAAAACAAAATAGCAAAAAAGTTACGTGTTTGAACACTGGTTAATAAATTTCTGCATAATAATCGAAATTATGTTTGATATAAAAAAACTGTTGATTTATAATCACCAACCACAGAGCCATTTAATCCAATTGCTTTCGCCCAAAGAATTAAAGTTTCACTCTGAGTTAACTGTAATTTTCCAGAAAATTTGCATTCTGTTTACATAACAAAAGCAGTTGTCGTGAATTCATGTGTTTTCACTACATTAACGACAAAAACATATGAATTACTATTAAAATGGCCGCCAGCATATAAATGTAATTTTCTACAAGAAAATTAGATTTGAATCTGGTCTTATTCAAACGCCAACAAGAGTTATTTATCTGATGTAGACTGTTGTGTTAATATAAGAAGCTTTATGTATTCTAATATCGTTGGATTGATAAATCGGTTGGGTAAAGTAATTCATGGAAAACCGAGTATATCAGGATATAATAAAATATTATATACATTGACAAATTAATGGTCTAAATAGCTGTTTAGAAAACAACCATTTTTGTTGAATAAAAAATAATTATTATTGAAATAAAGTATATGTTTGAAAATTAATTTTCTTATATATTATTTATAAAAAAATTTTGACTTACCTCTGGAGGTATACGAACAGTATCACCGGCCACATTTGCCCACCAAACCATCAGGTACGAATACGCGGCAATCCATAATATGGATCCCATAAACGTAATTGGGAAGAACTTCTTGCCTGTAAAAAGATATTTTTTAAAACAATCATTATATAGAAAATACAAACAAAAGCCTTGTTTGTCCCAAACACTGGCAGTATTGGGCCTAAATTGAATGAAATAATCAAAAATCGTTAGTTTGGCGCAGCAGTTGCGGATACATTATAAAACATTACCTTCTTAGTCCTTTGCTTAAAATTGATTATATATAATGTTACACTATATAAAATTTATTTTATATATTCTTTATATTTAAAAAAAGCTTTTGCTTTACTAATTTCGATATATGTATTTATGTATATTTATTAATAATATTTTTATTAAGAGGGGTAAGTAATACATACTACTTATACATCGCATAAAGATCTACATATTTTAATTAGTTTTAACAAACTTTTTTTATAACAAACATACTATATTATATTACGTTGATGATACATTATTTACATATATTCATCTTATGGCTTACGAGTAGAATTTCTGAGCTCTACCCTCTCTTATAAATTTACCACAAAATTTCATAAGAACAGCATCATTTATTGAAATACTATCCACTCAATTCATGAGGAATTTCAATTGAAAACTTGGTAAATTAATTCCAATCAAACGTCCTAAAACTGAACGCATTCCACGTTATTGAATTTAAAAATATTAAGTATGCAAAAGATTGGAAAATATTTTTAACAATTCAATCAATTCTTACCCAAGATTTCACGGGCAAAAAAATTTTACATATATGTAATTGTGAAATTAGTTCCATATAGGTGTAGAATTTTGGTAAAAATATTGAAAAAAAAATCTTTTCTCCATTATATCTTCAACCAGTTTACGGACAACACATATATTACACACTATCTATTTGAGTTTTTTTTAAAGTTAGTATTTTGTGAAATATTGTTTAATGTTAATATTACAAAGTGTAGTGCATTACCATATCCTCATACCATGGATTATTTAATTTTCTATTTTAATACTTATATTTTATTTTTCAATTCAATTGTTTTAGTTTTTATTTTTATTTCACGGAATGGAGGCTAGGATTATAGCCAAAACTTGAAGATGTAAAATAATTTTTTGAAAAAAGTTCATTTTTTTTATTGATGTTATGCCCAATTATTTGATTTTGTTAATATAATAATGAATATGTATATATGTATGCATGTATGTATGTATATATTCCATAAAAAACATGAAAATTCAGTGAAATAAAAGCTCTTGAAATCACTCAAAAGTGTAATAATTTTATTTTATTTACATTGCTTTGTGAAATGTAGTAACGGAAATAGAGTTTTGGTCTTGTGGGTTATCTAAATTCAAGACCACTGGAATTCACTTTACATTTTCTCTTTGATAGCAAACCGCGAAAGTTTAAAAACATTGGTTTATATTTAATCTCGTTTCAAATGCGACTTGTCTTATATCTACTTGGGTATATATATAATTCAGAGAATTGAAAAAAAAACAAAATTCAGATTTAAATGTTATACTTGTTAAGTATTTAGTTCTATTAACATTTATTATTTTTTATTTAGTATTTTGGTTGTTAAATATATTTATTTTCAAATCAAAAGTAACAGAATATTCACTATAATTGCTGACTACTATTGAAAAACCATCATTTCTTTTTTAATCCAACATTTCTTTGAAAATGAGATCAGTAAATACCTGCTAATTAAATTATGAAGCTTTTTTTTCTACATTGTTTAAAAGAAGTAAACAAAATATGTAGGGTATGATAAATTTTCTATAGCATTTTTTTTTTGAAAACTAATATGGTAACTATAAGCTGAGCTATAAAGCTCAGCCAAGTCTTCCATATTACACTGAAATTGGTAGCAAATCGTGAAAACCCAGTATCGCACTGAATTGTTTATCTCTGATGTTGAAATTGTAATTTTATACCGTTGCCTGTTTTGGTAAAACGCGATAAATATTTGTAATCAACAAAACGAATAACGTATTATTTGGCAGTAACTAAAACAAAACTACTATGTACCAGTCGCATTGCCATAGTTATTTTTCCTATTTCATTTTTTGCGAACAAAGAATATTTTCGATAAAAATCTGTAATAAAAGTCGTTATTTAAACAATGTATTTCATTACAATACACATATTTGTTGCACGAAAATTCAGTAATTTTAAATAATAAATTCAATTCCGTTCCCCAAAGGGCTTATTTGATCTGTAATGTTTATTCAGCCTGGATACGCCGGGAACACAAGTGATTGTGTGGCGTTATTTTATAGTTTGCGATGTGCGTCCCGTTATTGAAATTCAGCAGAGGATGTGGAGTATTTCAAGTAAAATTGCCACCGGTGCAAAGTAACGGTATAGTGCCATATGGAAAATTGCCTCATGAATCATTTTCTTGGTTTTTAATTTGGCAATGCACGTCGGGAAAAGGTATGAGGGAGGATGAAATGATGCCAAATCAATATACATGCACATACATACAGACACACACTATACATTTTTGCCTTATAGAAAATTTCGATCTCTTTTTGATTAAGATTATGTATAAATGAAAATGTACATAAGTATCATAAATAAGTTTTTAATAAAACAATGTGCAATGCACTCAAATTATATATAATTCTTATATGTTTATTGTAACTATATTTCTTTAAGTGGAAAATACTGTAGTTTTATCTTAAATTTCTAAGTTTTGATTCAGTAATATAATTTGGAATCACTAAAAATTTGAATTGCGATCCAGACTCGGCTAGAAATATATATATATATATATACTACTCTAGTTGATGTCTACGAATATTTGTGTGCCTATAAACTGTATTAACCACCCAATATCGTTTAAAATTTATAACTAACTGGTTGCAAAGCACTATTGATGCTTGAATATTGACGTTAGTATTGTGTATTTTGCAAGCATATATTTAACTCTAACCTTCAATTAGCCATGAATTTTCATTTTGTATACTATTTGCTTTTCGCACGAAAGCTGCAGTTTATTATTAACAATTCTATCCATAATTAAAGAATAACCCGAATGCATTGGAGTCCACTTATAACATGCAGATCCTTACACGTCATCATACATATATTAACCTTGAACATATATGGTAGTTTGATGGCATAAAATACAGGAAAGTAATAAATTCGTTTTAATGCGCCATCATAAACCTCGACGAATTGCTAAAGCCCAGAACACTGATGGATATTACTGTCGCATATGACCGCATTACAATCATTAACTTTACAGTGGTGATTTTGGCCATGGGATAGGATTATCGAAATGCCAATCTAACAACGTTTACAAGGAATATATAACCGATGGCTCGATAAACAATGTCGATATTAATTTTAATTGGCTGGAATATTGGAGAACTTTGATTATCTAAAGCCCGTCGCTATTCGATGCCCTCGCTTGTAGGCAAATCTAATCCCGGATATATACCTTCAGTGTCCTCCGCCTAAATATTTATAATTCTTCTTGTGTTAATGTGATAATACAAACTTCATCATTGTAGAAATAATGGACTTGGAATTTGTTTTTGTTTTTATAAGATTTTTATTACATTTAATATGAAAAAAATACGTTCTATAAATTTACAACATGAAAATGAATCTGAATCATGATCATGAATCTATCTTCATTTAAAGATAACAAAACAATTATTGAAACTATTATAAATTCACATAACTATCACTTTAAATCTATATAATATTAATTATGTGATAAAAATACTTGGACTTGATTATATGATCTATGTTCCTTTTCAGTTAAATCATTGATCGCATTTAAATTTTTATTTATCGATTTTTTCCGAATTGATCGCCTAAATTGTGCGCCACCGGTCTACGTCTAAATTATAAGAAATAATAAATAGTAGTCTGACCGAAGGCAGGTCCATGATGTGAGAGCCACCACAAATCAATGTTCTTTTTTCTTTCCTTGTTTATCATTCCCACTACCATCAAACACTTTTTTATACACTTTTATGCATTTTCCTTTACAAGTTTCTGTTTTCATATTTTCTGACTTTCAGTTCCCTGCACTTTCTCTTCTTCTTCTTATCTTCTACTTCTGTTAGTCCTATTTCACCTTCCATCAAGTCGTGTAAAAAGCACGCTTTTTGCAGAATGGATCCGATCCAGTTTCCTTTCCTTTCAGGATCGTGTTCAGTAGAGTTCTTTCTGCGTTCACTCTTCCCAGCACTTCTTTGGTTATCTTCTCTGTCATCTTTATCTTCTCAATTCTTCTCGAGCACCACATTTCAAAACTCTCCAAATAGTTTTTGTCGGCCTTTCTTAAAATCCACGTCTCTTATCCATAAAGAGCTATACGAGTCGAGATTCAGTTTGCTCGTTAGTAGCTTTCTCTCTTTCGTCAATGTTTTAAATTATATCTGCCATTAATCTTCTATTTAAATTCAACTGTTTTAATAAAATAATCAGTATAGTCTTCTACATTTATTCACAAGACACTAGGTTTACTAAAAATAATATAACCACCACTGGCTTTTTTACCACTTTATATAATTATATAAAGTTAAACATGAGTAGAATAATACCATTAATCCATTTCGTTGGGAAATAGAAGTAAAATAAATGTCATATCATATCAAATAGTAATTATAGAATAAAATAATATATACTTCAATACAATGATAGTGGAAAAAGAAGAAAACTATCAAAATTTGAAACCTCGTGAATGATCACTGTTCACGCCAAATTAGACGTGACAACGCTGCACTCATATTTTCTAAGAAAATATTACATTTGCAACGACGCATAGGCAATTCGCATCTCAAGATTTACCTAAAAGGGTTCCTGCGAGATACCTGAAGGCGGCACTAACAATATAGTCTTAACCCGGTCGCCAAGCTATCCACACATTCAAATATTCCAATATTATATCAATACTAAAACTTTATCACAAACAGTGTAAATTATATTCTATAAATAAATAAGTGTAAATCTATTTGTTATTAATCAATATTTACATTTTAAACGGTCGATAGAGCCACTAATTCTATCTGGTCCTTCAGCTTACAATCA